AGCCCTGAGTGGGCAGCCTGGATCTGCCCCTGCCCCATGAATAAATCTGGGGAGTATGTGTCCCCCATGCCTCCCCCCAGGAGTATGTGCAGTGGCAGAGAGCCAGCACCTCTCTGCTGCCCCCAGGCACTCTGTTCTGCTCCCCACCCAAGCCCTGCGGCCACACATTGCCACCCCAGCCCTGGGCTCCAAGCCCCAGACCCCATGCACTGCCCCAGCTGGGCAGTGCCCCCAGTCATGCCCAACTCCCTCCCTCACTGTGGGGTCCTCTTCCCTGCCCCCAGCTCACTTGAGGGGAGGTGTGGGAGCTGCTCCCATGCTGTGCATGCACATGCACATGGAGCTTCCTTCCTGATCACCCTCCTCCTGCTCCCTCTCAGCTCCTTGTAGGTTGCAAGGGGCAACCCGCCGTTTCTCACGGTTTTCTCCTTAAAATGAGAAAATCCGTGTTTTACTGTTTCTCCATGGTGAACAGAAAACCCAGATCCTTGGATGTAAGGTTGTAGGTAAGGTAAAGAAGAGTTTTTATCTTTATTTTGCACATCTAGAATACTACATCTTTTCACTCTGTATTGGGGGACAGTTCTATGCATCTCAGCTCCACAAAGATATGGACAGACAATAGACTTGATTTAAAAAGAAAAAGAAATGGAAGTACCACCTGTCAAAATATGCAGCTTCATGTCAATCAAAATATTTTGTGGGGATTTGTAGACTTATATTAAATGGGGGAGTTTCTTTGTTTTGCATTTTTGGTTGGAAAAATCAAAGCTTTTAATTTTGACCCATGTTAAAAGTCTATTTAATGCTTATTTTATATTGGACAATACAAAGTAAGCATTTTGATACTGACTTTCAAAGTAAACATTTTCTGAGTGTTTGCCTCAAAATTTCAGTTTTTCATTCTGACTCACAACAGTTATTTTTCCAAATGTCAGCAGTGCCCACAGAGTAAAAATTACTACTGCTGAGAAGCCCAGAGGATATTGGAATATTATTTTGCTTTTTCGCTTTAGAGTCTGGAGTAGAAGAGTTCTATACTGTCTGAGATTTTGTTTCCCTTCCACTTTTTTAATGGCAAATTATAGTGTTGCCAGATGACTACTAAAAGATGAAAACTTCCTTCAACTATCCAAAAGTATGCAGTAATTTGTTACAAGATCTGAGGGAGATGTACGCACCACTGACTAGCAGATAGAGCTTAGGGTTCGTTAAAGCACAGTTAACCCTTAAATGGAACGTGAAGTACCAACGCAGACAACTCAGTGTCCTAAAATCAAAGTCTAACTTTATTAGTACAAGTATTTTCTTAGCAGTTTCCATATTCAGAGAGAGAAAAACGCTTAGTACAATGATCTCACCCAATCCCAGGCGTTACTTTGCTTCACAGAAAAGACGGCCACTCAGTTCCTGAAGAAAAGAGTAATGTTTTGGCTGGGATGATCCAGACTGGTGTTGAAAGCTGGATTTATGATGAAGATGAGGATGATGACGACGATGACACGCTGAACTTTCTTGCTCCCGCCTTTTATGCTTTTCTTTAACTTGACTCCTTTGATTCCTTGCTTTTGGATCAGTCTGTCTGCAGCCAGCATATCATCCATATTTTATCCTGTCAGCATATTCCTTTGTTCAACAGTCCCATTACAAGCGTACCTCTTAATTTGGCCTTTTTCCGGTGTCTTTGAGCACTGTCCATTGGTCTCCTTTATCACCTTTCATTAACATATCCAGTCATTTTTTCCCTCTGATTCAGCTGGTTAGTGCCAAGTTCAGTTAATTTAAGCTTGTAAGAAAACTATTACTATGTTGTGTTAGAAACATTTCTCACAGTGATTTAAAAAAAAAAAAAAAAGGAAAGAAACATCAGGCAAGCAAACTCAAGGCTGTAAGCTGCTTCCAGGAAACAAGGCCAGCTGATGTTGCAAACACCAGCAAAATGAAAAGTTCAGATAACAATGAGGCTTTACAGAACTTTAGGCTGAATATAGAAGAAAACTTTAAACAATGCTATAACTCACCACTCTGTAAACAGGTGCAACTTTAAAGCATAAAATATGACATGCTACTCTAACAGAGGGGAACAAAACGGCCAAAATATGAAGCATAGGAACTGTCATATGTCAAACTAGTTGTCCTTTCTCTAGCCCTAGTAAAGGATGCTTTTGAGGGAGGGAGGTAATCCAGTAGTGCACAAGGTACAGAATAATCTGCTGCACTTCGAAGGAAGTCTTCATGTAACCCATTCATTAAGCAAGTTGACTTATACCCTGAAGCATATGAGTTTATATCTTTACCTTTTCCTTTTTATCCTGTCCAACATAACTGTGGATGTTCTCATTAGCAATATAAATGGCTAATTCATTTTTTGAAACCTGCTAAGTTCTTGGCCTCAATGACATCTTGTGGCAGTGAGTCCTACAGGTTAATTATTCATTGTATGAAAAATTAAATAGTTTTTCTTTTTATCAGTTTTAAATTTGTCGCCGTTCAGTTTCATTGATTGTCATTTAATTAAAATGCAGTTCTCCTCTGGGTTAAAATGAGCAGGAGGGTGAAATTAAAGTGCTGCTGTCATTTTAGTTTAATACATTTAAAAGTTTGTGTTACTTTGAGTAGAAGACTAATCATGAGCTACATGGTGGCGGACCATATGGGTATCTAGATAATGAAGACTATGTGCTGTGTCTCGTGGGTTTTTTTTGTTGTTTTTTTCCCCTGCCTCTTAGTAGGAAAATGCCATCTTTAGAATATGCTCACAGAGGGTTAGAAAAAAAGTCTGATGCTTCAACAGAAATTTTTTTAGCAAACAATCTAGCATCAGACTAGATTGATTAAGTAACAAGTTATTTTAGCTTTGCAAAATCATCATGAAAGTTTATCACTCCTAAAATGCATGTACCTGCTTCTTTGTGGGGATGGTAGGAAAACAGATAGAGTGCTGTCTGTCCACAGAAAGTTACCTGAGGCCAGTGGGTGGAAGAGTAGAAAACTGCAAGATTTCTTTAGCTGAAATTGAGTAAACTTTGGGGATTTACTGATCTCTCTGATCAAACCCATAGCAAGGAGGCATGTTTCAAAGCATGTCCTTATTTGTGCCTTTCCATGACTCCTCTTTTGTCTACATCAGCATTTCCCAAACCTTGTGGGTTTGCTCCCCAGTGTAGTTAATTTGGGCACTCTTGTGCCCCCTACTTCAGCTGCCACTGATTCCCCTTGCTGGCAGCAAAAAATGGGGATGATGGGGCCATTTAATCTTGATAAATCTCTTCAGAAGAATACTTAATAGAATTTGCTCCAGGTAGTGTGTAAAAGCATTGCCTTAGATAGCAGCCAGGGAGTGAATGTGTAATTTTGTATATACTCCATGGTACTGATCATACGCACTGATCATAACCTGTTTTAAATTAGGTGTGAAAGGCTGATTCTTACTGTGACAGGCTGATTCATATTTTCCTCCTCCTGCTTTTAGGTAACATCCAGCACAACAGTGGCACGGGGAAGGGAAGAAATCTTTCCGAAGCTTCCCAAGCTGTATTCCAGCCTTTCCTGGGACATAAGGCAAAGAAAGCAATGGCTCTTCCTGGCATTCCCATGTACGTGAGGAATGCCATCCTTGCAGCTGCCCTCTTCCCCGAGTTCCTGAAGGAATTGGCAGCTCTTGCCCAGGAACATTCCATTCTCTGTTACAAAATCCTGGGGGAATTTGAGGATTGTTAGCAATGTTGTTTTTACGGATTTTTAAAAGCTTTTAGAGTTGGAACGGTTTTCAGTGCAAAGCTGCTTATGAAAGAAATTCCTACTGGGCTATTTCCTGAAAATACTTGATTGGGGGTGGGGGGGCAGGGGGGAATTGGGCCTTACGATTTCCCACTGTGCAACATGCTTACTTGGAGAAGCTCTTTTATATCACCTTTGGATTGTTCTTCCCTTCTCTGCACCCACATCCCTTCCTTTACCTCATTGCTCCCTTTTTAATTTCTTCAGTAAATGTTCTTGGATGGGTTAAATAAGGCAAATGTTCTGACTTTTGCCATTCCAAAAATCCACTTCTTGCATATTCTGCTTCAGGACATTTTTGGTCTGCGAAAAAGTAGTTGCCCAGTGGGAGATGTACCTGATACATAAATACATAGGAAAACTGCACAAAATCCTCCAATCAGCTTTTTTTCTGCAAAAGATCAAGGTTTGCAGAAGGGGGGGAAGGGGTGTTTGTTTCTGGACTTGCTTTTCTTTTTTTCTAAGGAATGTCTGCAGGCACATCTCTCAAGCTTCCCCTCCTCCCACTGCTGGTGTTGTGAATCCAAGCGTCCTTCTGTGTGTTCTGACTAGCTGAAAGCAGGTGCTCTACCCAACACATACCGTATTGCCTTATGTTGCAGGCAACTCTGCAGCTATCAGCTGTTGGTCTTTGAAGTCAAATGAACTGTGTAAGTGGATGTGGAGTGCAGACTGCATGGAATTTTCCTTGCAATTTCTCAGCACTCTTTGATAAGTACTGCATTGCTACCTATACACCCAAGCAAGCCTTATTTAGTAAGATTTGCACAAAGTACAAAGCAAAATGTTTCTATGCAAGCTGTAACTAATTTGTAGGAGATATTTGTATGCTTATGTTAATAAGCTAAAGAAAAGTATTTGTTATCTTTCAGTACCGTTAAATGGGGAACAGTCTATTTTTGTTAAGTAGTACTTTATATGAAAAGGACAGCTAGCCTCTAAAAGCTGTCTCGTATTTTTTTAATGTCTTTCTGGTTGAGGGAAAGCTGAATGTAACACTAAACACTGGTTATTTATTTTTTAAGTTACATGTTAGCTTTTCCTAATATTGCACTTTTGGGGTGGAATGTTCTGTTCACTAGCTAGTGGAGAGGAAGAACATGGGAAACTGTCTGCTGGTGACTAACTGCTTAGGAAAATTCTCTTCGGTGAGTAATGGGGTTCATTAGAAGAACCCAGACATGATGAATTGGTGTATCACGGCTGCATTTCATCTTGCTCTTCATGGAATAATTGTGCTTCGAGTTCTGTAGTTGGTTCTACATAAAGAGGGGCTCAGTTTGTGAAGCCTCAAGTCCCCTTTATACTGGGAGGAAACTGAAAACAAACCAAAAAACGTGCAGAAACAAGAGCTATTTGAAGAAATTGGTTCTGCTCCTGTTACAGTTCCCCAAAACAACCCTCCTTCCCTCTGCGCATACTAAAAAATTTCCGCAGCTTCAGGCATGTCTCCAAAGAGGCTACATGTGAAAAGCCTACGGTAACAAAGGAACACAAGGTGATATTCAGAAGCACCTCACTGATTTAGGAGCCAAACCTCCATTGACATTTGGTGGGACTCAGGAGCTGCAGTCAATTTATACTTCTGAAGACTGTACCCACCACCTCTAGCTGGGAGGGGTTTTAGTAGTGCGTGTACGCTTCAATTTCTGTCTGCAGGGCATACTTGGTAAATGTCCTCAGTGTGGCTGTGCAGACTGTTGCCTGCAAGAGCTATCCTGGTCTGCCTTCTATTGATCTGTTTAGACCTTTCTATTGCACTCAGTTCTGTGCGACTAGAACACCAGCTTCCCTGCCCCCCTACCCTATTGCATTAGCACTGCCTCGTACATAGTTCTTTGGGGTCAAGCCCAGCTCCCTCTTAAGCGGCTTTTCTTCCCTGCTGTGCCTGTTCTGGGGATCTCTTGCCATCTCAGCTGTAGTTCCACTAAACTATGCTGTGGCCTCCAAGCTTTCGATGTCTATGCCCCTCCCCACCCCAGCCATCCACTTCTCCATTTACCAGCAGCTAGAAATTTGGAGGAGATTGTAGTTTCTTATCCAATTTTAATTTGTGAGTGGGAGGGTTCTTCAAGCCCCTTTCTCTCTCTACCACTGGGCAAGCACCAACCTTTGGTTCTCTTACCTTATCTTAGCAGCTAGGTCCCTGACCCCACATATTCTCAGAAGAGCTCTTGAGAGGCTCTTGCTTCTGCTCCCAGAAGCTGGGCCTAGAGATAGACAAGTGAAACATCACTTTCTGCAGGCAACAGACCAGCCTCATCTGGGCAGGGCCAGCGCCTGTAGACATCCCTAACCTCTGACCTGATCTGCCAGTATGTCACCAAGCTAAGTAAGTACAGGGAAGTTAACCAAATCAATCACTAAGCAAACTTCAGTAAATTAAAACTAAGTTGTGGGTTCATTTCTAATATGGCAATAATACTAAAGATGTGTGTATGAGGAGGGCATTTCCCAGTTTCCTTGTCTCTAACCAGACCTTTCACTGTTTTAGAGTGTGAACTGTTGGGGTGGGGATAGTTTCCACTGGGACTGTTTATTTTAAATAGTCATTTTTTAACAAATGTGTTAATACATGACAATAATCTTCTTTATAGGCATAATAAGGTAGATGGAGATTTTAAAATGTGGACCGCACAGAATGTATCTAAGCAATTATTCCAGCCTGTTGAATAAAGCCAAGTCTACATTACAAAGCTGTGGGGTAGGGGTGTGAGAGGCCCTAGTGAGAGGAGGGCAGTACGAATGTGCGTGTGTCTGAGGCCTGACAATGAGGGCTAAGCCTGGTCCGGCTGTAGGCTGGGAGCATTATC